TTTTGAGCTGGCTTTGTTGCAGGGACTCTTCAGTTTCTGTACTATAGAGCACCCCCTGCAGGGAAAACTAAAAGCCTGGGGAAGATAACATTCTATCAGGGGTGATTCTCACCCATTCCTGCCACTCTGAGCTTCAGAATATCCGTGCTAAACCTAGTCCTGTCCAAGCAGCTCTATGTTACAAGGACCGAAGTTGGAATTTTATGAAGATGACAAATGGATTTGCACTACAATGAAAACTGTATACATAGTTAGTTATACAATGACCTGTAAGGGTTGTCATGGAAGTTTCTGGGCTCAATCTCCAATTCCTCTTCACTGAGGAGTTGGTTATTGCCACTGAACCCCAATGGCTAAGAGATTCATTCCGCTTCATTCTGTAGCCTTCTTTTCAGTATTTTACCTTGTTCTTGTCCTCTGGGAGACATCTAGTTCTTGCTCCAAAGCCCTTTTTCACTAACCACAGAGACTTTGAGGCCCTTGTTTTGTAAGGAGGTAATATTTTGCAAGTATCATACCTCTGTAGGCAATTTCCTTCTTTAAATTATATGCTCTAGCCTCCCCAGCCCCGGAGACATCAGTGAGACTTAAGGCCCCAGAGCAAGAGAGAAGAGAGATTTGGTGGCAAGACTTTGAGCTCGAAAGACGAGTTTAGGCAGTCCTGCCCAAGCTATCAGTGGGTCACCACTCGCATTTTACGTGTGGGACAGTGATTTATTTTGGGGACCGTCACGGGCAGACCCCCACCTCGCTGAATGCCGGTAGCACGCTACAGTTATGTTTGCAATTAAAAAAAGAAAAACTGCTCCCAATCTTTTCCAAATACCTCTTAGGGAGATGGGAACTCCCTGCCCTGAGAATTACAAAGACAAAGAGATTTCTTCAATGTCTTTAGCTAACACAAAGCCAAGTTGACACAGAGAGAGTCAGCGTTTCGTCCGTAGCAGAGCAGCTCCTTCGCTGAGATCTACTAAAAGTCAGCCCTCAACACAAAGGTTTGCTTTATATATAATTAAAAAAAAAAAAAAAGCTAAGTTGACTCAACACATCACAGGATTCCTTGCAATGTGTATGGAATGAGACCCCAGGGGTTTGAGAGGGCCAGGCCTAGGGTGATCGCCTCATCCCAGTTTTCCCAGGACTGATCTGATTTAAATCCTTCAGGCTCAGGCAAACCAGGAGTGTTGATCACCCTGACTCGGCCATAGGGCTCACTGTCAAACTGGACAGGAGGAGACAAGAGAAATGCTAGCTTTTTCCGGTCTGGGGGAACTGTCAGGAGAAAAAGGGGACATAGAATCGGACAGAAGGAAGTACACCCAGGGTCACTGCTTTCCCTCTTTCCACAACCACACCCCAGGCCCCTCCCTGGAGCCCCGAAGGCCTTAGAAACACCCAAATTGGTATGAGGCACTCAAGGGCAGGGCTTCTCCCCTGCTTCCTCAGTAGGAAGCCTTTTCCAGTTGGTTACCCAGCCCAGCCCAGCCCCGGGGCAGCCATATCTGGTGCTTCACCTTATCTGTAAAAAGAGGGAGGAGGAGATTTCCTCACTGGCCCGCATTTACTCTCATAAAATAACTCCTTTAAGTTCTGTCCCTTGCAGTTTTCAGAACTTTTCTTCAAACTCTGGGGAACTGACAATTAAAAATTTTTTCAAATGTGGAGTCATAGCCATATGAGGATAGTAGGAGCCATCAACAGGGACAGTGATTCTGTGACAAGCAGACCTGCCTCATTCCTCTCCTCTGCAGCCGGCTGCAAGGTGTTAGGAAACCCGCTGTACTGGTTGGCGAGGGCGCCAGGAAAGTACCACAGGCAGGAGGCCAGAAGTCCAGCAGCAAGGAGTCGACAGGGATGGTTTCTTCTGAGGGCCTCTCTCCTAGCCTGTAGATGGCCGTCTTCTGCCTGTGTCCCCACATGGTCTTCCCTCCATACAGGCCTCGGTCTAATTGTCTTCTTTTTATAAGGACATCAGTCATATTGGATTAGAGCTCACCCCCAACGACCTCATCTCTATGAGCTCCTAAGTCACCTACTTCCCAGGTGGGTGAAATGTGTGAAGGCATCAAAAGGTACAAACTTCCAGTTATAAAACAAATAAGTCATGGGGATGGAAAGTACAGCATGGTGACTAGAGTTAACAATGCATACTGTATTGCATATTCGAAAATTGCTAAGGTGGGGTGGGTATAGCTCAGGGGTAGAGCATGTGCTTAGCACGCACAAGGTCCTGGATTCAATTCCCAGTACCTCCGTTAGAAAAAGAAAAGGAAAAAGAAAAGTTGCTAAGAAAGTAAATCTTAAAAGTTCTGATTACAAAAAAAAAAATTCTAACTATGTGTGGTGCCAGATGTTAATTAGACTTACTGTGGTAACATATCACAATAGATACATATATCGAATCATTATGTTGTATACCTGAAACTAATATAACACTGTAGGTCAATTATACCTCAATTTTAAAAGAAAGAAAAATATTGCTAAGCCAAAACCTAAAAAAAAAAAAAATTAAATAAAAATTCACCGAACTCCTAAATAAGGTCACACTTTGAGGTTCTGAGGGTCATAACTCAACATATAAATTTATCAGGAACATAATTCAGGCCATAACACTCATCTCCCTGGACTTGGCATTCTTTCCTCCACCCTCAGGTCTTTGGGTCCATCTTCGCTGAAGATCACAGAGCCCGGAAGAGAGCCCTTAAGATAGCACCATTCATAACTCATTGTTTTGATTATTATCTCCAGCTGCTGCTCTTAGCTGTTGGGGATGTCAGTGTGTTCAAGACAAGCTCTCTTTAAGGAAAACCTAGAACAGCAGTTCTCAAACGTTTTGGAAAAGGTAAGTAACATGTTAGTATTATTATAAAAATAATTTTGACCTCATGAACTCTCTGAAATGGTCTCCGGGAATCCCAAGTGATCCTGGACATCCTTAAAGAACAATTGCTAAAACCCATGTGGGGATGCGTTCACCTTCTAGTTGTTCTTGATTGCTACTCCCCCCTGGCCAGTCCTGGCCTTCTCCATGAGGTTAAAGGGACACCTTGCCCAAACCCAACCCACCACAGAAACATAGAGCAAGGACCACTTTCTAAGAGCTATGTTTGCAGGTTGGCCAAAAGGCCCTGGGTCTCAGGAGACAGCACAAGGCAGGACTAGACATGCATAGACATTAAACCAAGGCCAGGATGCCTCCTGGCTCTGTCCTCCACAATGAGATCACTTCATCCTGGTATTCCCACAGGTGAATCAACAACTCCCCACATTAGGTAAATGATAGTAAACAAGGCTGCATATATTAGGATTAAGTTTAGCTGAATACAAGAACAAAAATTTTTTTAAAACAACAAAAAATTTTTTTCACATTAGTTTAAACAAGTTAGAAATGTATTGCTCTTCAATAGAAAAGAAATCTGGGGGTAGCCAGCCCAAGACCAGTATGGTAGCTCCACAAAACTATCAGGATCCAACATACTTTTCAGCTCACAGTCAGCCTTCTTTAAATTGAGGTGCTCAACCTCGAGGTCCAATATGGCTGCTGAGCTCCAGCCATAGCAATCACATCCCACCCCCAGGAGAAATGGAAAAACAATACTTCCCAGGAGTTGTGCATACTTCTGTTTACATCTCACTCCCCAAAACTAAGTCACATATTTATTAAGGAAATTAGAAATGTCTTCTTTTAGTTGGATGACAATATGTCTAACCAATGAAGAAGGGGAGAGTATGTATTGGGAGGCACTAAGCAGTGTTGATCACAAATTGTCAATTAGTTGCTCTTCCTTTGCCAAGAGCAACAAAGCCAAATTGACAAGCAGACACATGGTAGCTACTATGTGACTCACCAGCCAGTTCACTCACTTCTACCCACCAGCTTGTCAGCAAAATTGTGTTTCTACATGTCATGGATTGCTAAAAATATTCACAATGCTGAATGCTAACCTCCTGAAAGCAGTCTACTATTTAGCATATTCTCTAGATCTCCAAATTGTATATTTTTAGATAAAAATTATTATCTACATTAAACATGGAAGGAAAATACACTTAAACATTAACCTAAAAGTCTAGAGATTATTTCTGAGGAGTAAAATTCCAGGACACTTTTCTTTGGGTTTTTTTTTTTCATCCTTTTCTGTAGATAAAACTTTCTTCTAATGTATATACATTGCTTCTATAATTAGATAAAACAGTAATTTCTTTTCAAGAGCTCCAGCTTCTAGCCTGGTCATTCATTAGTTGAGGAATTTATTCATCTACAACCCAGCGTACCTGAGACCAGAAGATAACTTAGGAAATCTGATTTTTGAAGTAGTGCTTTGCCCCAATCTACTCCACTTTATTTCACGCTATGTTCCTTGAGTTAAATTTAAAAGTTACATCATGACCTTTCTTACTACTTCCAAGTAACTATTTCTCATTATTTATGTCTTGTGGTTTAAACAGAATCTAAAAATAAGTGTAACCCACGAACAAAATTTCTGAAGAACAGCCATTAAGATCTCCGCTATTACAATTAAACATGAGTCAGAGGAAGGGGGGGGTTCTACAGTTCAGACTATGTAAGGAAAAATGAATGCTTTTTTCCCCCAGAAACACCCCTGGAGGAATTCCTCTTCTGCATTTTTGACTGTCATTTTCCAGGGAACTCTTTGCTACTAAAAATGAATCCGGCAGATTTAGAAGCAGCTGATTCCCAAGGTGTTGATCTGTGCTGAGCATCACCGTGCTGCCTTGGGGCTCTGGAGAGGAGGGTGGTCAGCGCTGGGTGAGGCAGCTGCAGCCCCCAAAGGTGCACAGGACAAGCCCCTGTGAATTACTCCACACCCACTCCCCACTGCTTTTTCTCCAAAAAAGTCTTTAACCAAAAAACTGAAAGACAGTCCTTGGCTTTTACTTGGTTTGTTGTATCTACCCTAGAGCCAAAAGACTGACAATCAACCAATTTAAACACACCAACCTTGCTAGGGAAAAAAACACCCAAAGGCACATGTATAAAAGCATTAACTTCACACACAAAGGATACCCCAGCTATATTTACAGGAGTCTTATACAGTGCATTGGGATACAGAGGTAAAATGGGTCACACTGGACAGAGACTCAATCACTTGTCTCAGGAAAATAAAGAGGGAGCTGATTACCATATTGACTTGAATCTAATCCATATCTAGCCATTAGTGAGCGCACGAAAGGTGGTGGATCCTACAACCCATGTTGTACAACATACAGTAAAACTTTCCCTTAAAAAAAAAGAAGTAACAAAAAATTTTTTTTTTAATTTTAAACAAACAAATAAATAAATAAATAAAATAGAGATAGCAACAACAACAACAACAAAAAAACTTTCCCTGGCACAGTCTCAGCTGTCATGTGTGCAAGGCACAAAGGAGTGTCAGAAAACATAGAGAACTTTTCTGATCAGCAGAAGCAGATTCTCATGGAAGCTAAGGAAGCTTAAGCTACAGGAACCCTCACACAACCCCTCCCCGTTCTCATTCTAAATAAATACTGGCTTTTTCACCTGATTTTCTATTCATAATTTTTTTCTGTAATAGGGGTCCCTCAGTTCTGTCAGCTTCGGGCTTCACAAAATCTAGATTCTCCCCTAGAGCATGTAAAACAATGGATCGTATGCTCTTATGTTTTTTTATCTTTTTAAAATTTGTGGTAAAAAAAATATATATATGTATATATATACACATATACATAAAAGATACCATTTTAACCAACTTTAAGTGTACAGTTCAATGACATTAAGTACATTCACATTGTCCTACAACCATCTCCACTATCCATCTCTAGAACTTTTTCATCTGACAAAACTGAAAGTCTGTCACCTGTTAGCCAACACTAACTCCCATTTTCCTCTGTCCCTGGCCCCTGATAATCACCTTTCTGCTTTCTGTCTTTATGAACTTAACTACTCTAGCTTCGTCATCTGAGTGGAATCATACACTTTGCCTTTTTTGTGAAAGCCTTATTTCACTTAGTATAGTGTCCTCAAGGTTCATCCATGTTGTAGCACATGACAGGAGTTCTTTCCTTTTTAAGGCTGAGTAATATCTCACTGCATGCATACACCACATTTTGTTTATCCATTCATCTGTCAGTGGACACTTGTACATTTTTTATTTTAAGATAAATGCATAGAAAACGAATTTATGGTTACCAGGGAGGAAGGGGTGGGAAGGGATAAACTGGGAGTTCGAGATTTGCAGATACTAACTGCTATATATATAATAGATAAACAATAAGTTTCTTTTGTATAGCACAGGGAACTGTATTCAATATCTTATAACCTACAATGAAAAAGAATATGAAAATGAATATATGTATGTATGTATATGTGTGACTGAAACATTATGCTGTACACCAGAAATTGACACAACATTGTAAGCTTGACTGTACTTCAATTAAAAAAAAAAAAGTGCATGTAACCATTTAGAAAGCCATGCTCTTGCTTTAGAATTAGTTCTGTAGAATGTGCAGTGGTGGTCCCTTGTCAGCCACATTTATCTGAGGATTCAGTAACTTTCTCTGTCCAAGTTCAATGAGGAATCATACAGGAACAGTCACCTTTCCATTGCCAGCATGTGAGTAACCCACTAACAAGTAACACAGCCTGCATCTCCTCCCCTGGGCACCCACACTTCTTCCTGTGTCTCTTATCTATTCTGATACTCTTTAATCAACTAATACATATATATTGAAAGATATTATTTCATTTTATTTTCAACTATTATTTAGCACCTTCAGTTTTCTGGGGGTAATACTCCACTTCGGAAAGCAAAAAGGAGAAAAAAATAAAAGAATAAAAGTAAGCCTGAAGAAGTTCACATCTCAGAGGAGGGAGCAAACTGACAAATTCTAATACAGTGTAATAATAAGAAGTTCAGTAATAGAGGTACATACAAGGTGCTGAGAGAGTACTTTAAGGGAAGGATTAATTCAGATGAATGAGTCAAGCAAGATTAGTCAGGGAAGTAACATTTAAACCGGGTATTGCCAAGGATATCTGCTTGGTGATGAAAGTTGCAAAGGGTATTCCATGCAGAGAAAACAGAGTGAACGGAAGGCTTGAAGGTGTTTGTTATATTCAGGAAAAAGTAAATACTCTTGGTGTCTATAGGGCAGAATGCATTAGTAAAAGCAGCAAGAGATGAGATTCAAGGGAGACTGGAGCCAGAGTATGAAGGCCTTATGAAGCTAGGGCTTTTTCTGGTGGGCAGTCGGAGCCACTGAAGGCCTTAAGCTGGGAGAGGTGGCAGGGGTGGGGACAGGGATCATTGTGATGGAGTCTGTGTTTTGTAGAGACCGTCCTCTCACCAGTCTAGCCATGTGCAGAAACTGGAAGGATGGTCCAAGGGCAGGAGAAAAGGACAAAAAGATCCTCAAATTTGAGTGAATGTTTAACCAAGAGACAGTGTTTTTCCTCCATCAGCAGAAAGGAAGGCTGA